TCTCCTTCTCTCTCTCTCTCTCTCTCTCTCTCTCTCTCTCTCTCTCTCTCTCTCTCTCTCTCTCTCTCTCTCTCTCTCTCTCTCTCTTTGTATGTTTTGTGTTTTTGACTGCAGCTTCTACTTTTGTTTCTAGACCCTATCTTTTCATTCTCACCATTGGCTATTCACACACGGAATATCTTAGCTGAACCTAGAAACCTAGATGCACCCTCGTTGTTCAGGTAAACATGCTTAACCTATAGAATCACCATTGTCTACTTTTGTCTTCAACTCTTTTCATTTAGGCTTCACGGCAAGCTTGCTCTCTAAGTTTTCTATAGTACTATTTAAACAGATTGGTAGGTAATCTTCCCTTTTGTAGATACCCGGAAGAAGTTGCTTATCCAATGCAAGAGCTACATTATTCGGCGATGTCTATCCATTGTCCGAAAATGAGCAAGTGAGTATCTCTGTTTAACTCCTCAGGCTGAGTAATACATACATGAAATGGTACTAGTTGTCTGTGTGTTGTGTCATAAAAGTTCTCGGTTTCCAGGAATGGGCTCATAAACAGTATATGGCTAAGCATCACCAAGGACCTTCCCAGCAATGGGGAAACTCTCACTATTTTAGAATGCAGAACATAAGGTTTCTGTCCATTTTATTCATATATGGCCAGACCATAGTGTAAACATGATAATAATCTTGAGTTTGTGTTCTCAGTGATATATATTTCATTGGAGGTTTTGGCACTGTTGCGTGGATTAATGTCAATGAGTACGAGGCACTTCAACCATATAAGATAGCTGTTGATGGAGGCGAGCAAAACCTTAGTGAGTTTAACTTAGTTTAATGATTGATCTTTACTTAATGACTCAAATTAGAGTTTGATTTATCTCTACATGGTGTTAGGAACTTAATGCCATCTTCTCAAACCCACTTAGAGAGTCACTGTCTACTGAATCTGAGGTAGACGATGCTGCTATCATTTCTGTAGACAGCAAAGGGATCGATATAAGAGTTCGGCAAGGTGCTAAGGTAATCTCATTATATATAACCTTTCTATAGGGGTTCTCTCAGTTTCTGCTTGCGCGTATTCAATTTGTTACACTTGTGCAGTTTCACGTACAAAGGCTAGCCTTTGAGGAAAGTCTTGGAGTAGAGGCTTTAGAAGAAGCCAAATCTTCACTGTGGAAAGTGATAGAGAAGGGAAAGGTACACAATTTGTAGATATAACCTCAGATTTGATGATGTTGAATAGTTAAGGTGGACAAGTAAACATGAATTAATAATTTTCTGGATCGGTAGTTATCCAATATTGTAATATGACTTATTCTTTTAGTCCAGGATTGATGTAACATATTATCAAAATTTGTTAATATTAAGTAAAAAAATACTTGCTAAAGAATATTGATTCACTAGATTAGTACTCGCACTTTGTGTGGGATGAGATTGTATATATAATTTTTTGTGTGCAATTATTTATTTTCATTTTTACATATTATGGAATAATAAGATAATAATATAAAAAGAATAATTGAGAAATAAGTATTTACTATTTACAGATAAATTGGTGTGAGTACATAAATCAAAACAATAGTTCTTGTTTATTTACAATCATTTTATGATAAATAAATTCAAACAGTTATTTTTTTATATTTTATATGGTATGTAATTAATTTTAAATGATATTAACATACATATAAAGGATATTTTTAGTAGAATTATTTATTAAATAAAACTTTCTACTTATATAGTTTGATGATCATTTGTATTTTTATAATATATTTTTTTAAATTACTCATAACAAACTTTTTATCTAGAAGACATAAAACTCATGAAAAGTAGTTTCATCAATTCAGACTTCATTCATATACCACAGATGCACAACTAAGGGAGGTCACAAATACAGTGCAAGAAAGCGACCGTCGTTTGTCGCTCATATGGATTCAGAGCTATCAGTTTAGTTCAAAGAGTCTACATGACCTGTTTATATTGCTGACAAAAAAAAAAAAAAATTTTTTATGTGACATTTAAGAGTCTTACTAATTTATGATCATTTTTTTATACAAAAACAATGTAATATTCAAAATTAAAAATAGTATGTTCTCAATATTTTTTCAAAGAAAATTTTGAAATCATAATATTTGTGTATTTTATATGGTATATATAAAATAATAGTAAAATAAATATATATATATATATATAGCTTAATCTTAATATTCATTAAATGAGACTTCTTATTCATATGTTTTTATAATCATTCGTATATAGCTATGGATGACAGAATGGGTCATGACCCATGGGTTAACCCAACCCACATTGACCCATTAACCTAAATGAACTGTATATTTTTGATCCAATGGGTTAATGGGTTAACAGGTTAATAGGTTAACATGTTAATGGGTTAACTATTTAATGAGTCTATTGGGTTGGGTCAACCCTCACCCATTTAATTTTTAATTAAAATCAAAAATTAAAATTAAACCCATTAACTGTCCAGTTGGACATCATGTTTTCCCGTCAAAACCACAAAACCACGTTTTCCCGCCAAAACCGCAAAACTACGTTTTCCGCCAAAACCGCAAAATCATGTTTTCACGCCAAAACTGCAAGATCACGTTTTCCCGCCAAAACCGCAAAATCACGTTTTCTCACCATTAACCCATTTTGGGTTTGGAAAAATATGTTGGGTCGATGGGTGAACCATTAACCCATCTGACCCATATAATTTAATGGGTCATGGTCAACCCAACATATTTATTAAATGGTTTGGGTTGACCCAAAACCCATTGACAGTCAACCCATTTGGGTATGGGTTGGGTTGACCCATTTGACCCATTTTGACACCCCTAGCTATAATCCCTCTATATATTAAAAGAGAAGTACATTTGCCATGTGGCACTCACACAGCCCTTCTCAGAAGAATTCTAGCGATTCTATTGGTTGATTTTTTAGAATTTATTTTTTGATTTATTTTTACCATCGACACTACTAAAAAGGAAATCTATTTAAATACTTACTTTTTGTGTTTTCTCGATTCAAAGAACATCCTTTTGCGATCCTTTCTCTGTTTAATTCATTAAATACTCATTAAATATTTTAGATGTCAGAGAAAAAAATTAATTGACAAGATATTTTCACTCTTAAAATCATGCATTTAAAAAAAATTTAATTGATAAGATATTTTCTCTCCTAAGATATTTCAAAAATAATATTACCTTAAAAATATAAGATTTATTGAGAATTTATTAGAGAATATGTTACTTCTTAGCTTATCATGCAAGCTAAATCATTGAGAAACTTCCATCAATTTACTATAAATAAGACATTCACAGTAGAAGAAATGAAATCATTGAACTTTGTAGTCTGAACTTTTTATGTTAATAATGTTCTAAACTTTTTTTTCTTCTTATTTTAGAACATTAAGCTTTTATATTTCATAAGAGCTGATTTTTCTTTTGGTTTATATTCAGATATCCTATTATGACGATTTGTCCACTGAAGCTATATATGATTTGATTGTACATCTCTTTGATATATCATTTCGATAACATCTTTGTTCCTCAATCTGGTAAAAAAAATTCTCCATTTGATAACATCTCTCAGCTATATCATTTCAATAGCATCTTTTTGTGTTGCCAATACTTTTTTTTTGAGTAGATTTATATTATTGTTTAGAATTATAAGCTTATACATACATATATATTTCTTTGGTTTGCTGATTGTGATTTTGTTTTATGATCTTTTTAATTAAAATTGATATATTTTTTTTGGTTTGCAATTATATGATCTTTTTAATTAAAATTAAATATATATATAGTAATATTTATTAATCAAAAAGTTATATCAACTACTTTTTATATTTATTATTTCCTTATTATATATCATTTAATATTTAAATATATATAGTTTAAATGTAATTTACCTTAATGTTTTTAGTTGATTAATGACCTACCTTATTTTGAACACATATTACTTGTGCAACTTCAAATTATATTTATTGCATTGTTTTAATTCAATTTACCTTAATGTTTCTAATATGTTAATCGTCTTTATAAACTTATTTTGAACACATATTACTTGTGCAACTTCAAATCATATTTATTACATTGTTTTAATGCAATTTACCTTAAGGTTTCTAATTTGTTAATTCTTTTTAAAAAACTTACCTTATTTTGAATATGATTTAATTGCACAAGTTTATAACATATTAATTTTAAATCATTTAATGACAATATAACTTTAATATCTTTCTTTGAACTGTTTCATTATTTATTATGAAATTATATTCCTAAACATCATTTGTTATGAAAATATCTCCCTAATAACATAAGAAAAAAGGAAGGTAGAGTATATATAAAGGATACACTTAAGGGATGTCAATACTAACTTATTAGTCTATTTTTATTCGATAAAAAAATTAAATTTATAAATTCTTACATTTGTTTGTTTTTTCTATTAACAGATAAATAACACAGACGAAAGACTGGTTGTAGTTAACTATAAATCATTTATCAGTTTGTTTCAATAGTGATATGCAAATTTAATATTATTTTTGTCTCAATAAAATTTAGAAATCTATTAAATTATTTTATATTGTACAGTTGCTAACAAAATTTGACAATTTTTTGCAGGTTTCTATTGGATATTTTAAATTTATAACTGTTCTTCTTATTTTATATTACTTATTTAATTCACAAGATTGATTGGTAATAATTAAGAATGATTTATGTTAACGCATTAAATTCAGAACATCTATTTAGCAATAAAAAGAATGTAATAAATAATACGAATATATTATTTAATACTAACTTATCGTGCAACCATATCAACACTGTTATATATATCTTACATTTTCTTATGGTTTACATTTTAAGTTGCTTATTTTCTTCAAAGCTTAATCTAATGACTTTTTTTAGAAAAAAAATAACTTTTGTGCCTGTGTACTTAAAAAAACTAACAAAAGATGAATGTCTATTTTGAGAATCTAAAACAGAGATATGGAAAAAATAATTTCTTCTGTTATCTGCAAGGACTATGATGAATAAAATATTGAAGTTATTAAAGAAGCATGTTATTGGGCATCAGCAAAGGATCTACGCAAGCTGTTTTGTGTCCTATTACTAACACATAGTATCACAAATCCAGAAAACATTTGGAATGCTACTTGGAAAAAACTATCACAAGATATATTATGCAACCAAAGAAAAAATACGGATAAACCAAGTAAACTCATGTTTTTATCAAAAGAAAACGTCATTAGAAATTGGGTTTGGGTAAATATAATTTTTTACATGTTCTTTCAGACTTGGAGTAGATTGAATCAATCATGCTTTTGAACGGAAGCTCATTGACGTTGTTTAAGTTTAGAACGTGTTATCAATAGTATACTCTTCTATAAGTTAAGATGTGGTTTTGTTAGAATTTCTATTAATTGAATTTTTTGTTTTACTTTTGTGGAATTCGCGTTATTGTAATGTTATAAATCAATAATAAAAGCATTTTCTCATTATTGTCGTAGAAGTTCTTCAGTTTTATTACATCTTCTTTTTCATAGTATTGTCTTTATTAGATCACTCAAACAAAAAGTGAATTGATGTATCAAATGTACTAATCTTTAATGACCTAATTAAATTCCATTGTCCCAAAATCAGAATAACGAGAGAGAGAGAGAGAGAGAGAGAGAGAGAGAGAGAGAGAGAGAGAGAGAGAGAGAGAGAGAGAGAGAGAGAGAGAGAGAGAGAGAGAGAGAGAGAGAGAGAGAGAGAGAGAGAGAGANAAACAAAAAGTGAATTGATGTATCAAATGTACTAATCTTTAATGACCTAATTAAATTCCATTGTCCCAAAATCAGAATAACGAGAGAGAGAGAGAGAGAGAGAGAGAGAGAGAGAGAGAGAGAGAGAGAGAGAGAGAGAGAGAGAGAGAGAGAGAGAGAGAGAGAGAGAGAGAGAGAGAGAGAGAGAGAGAGAGAGAGAGAGAGAGAGAGAGAGAGAGAGAGAGAGAGAGAGGGATATGTGTAACATTTCTTTTAATCTGTCTACATACATTTTACGAAAAATTTATGCATAATAATATTTTTCACCTAAATTTAAGAATTACAACACATATACAATACAATTCTAATTAGTGATAATAGAAAATATGTTACTTATAAAACTACACACTATTAATTTCAGATTTGGAAAATAAAATTCAACCTTCAACACACAATTTTTTTTGTGATG